ATTTAATAGATAGAAATTGAGAGAGAGAGAGAGAGAGAGAGAGAGAGAGAGAGAGAGAGAGAGAGAGAGAGAGAGAAATCTAGGACAGGGAGAGATACTTGCAGCCTAACTTTAACTTTTCTATATACAGTTTTTGCTCCCAAAGAATAAAATACCACCACCTTAACATTAATACAAAACTAGACATGTCCAACTGCTTCTGTGGTTCTTCCTCCCCTACTTACTTCCTAGTTCTGGTGCCAATCTGTACAAGGTCAGCTCCCATGTTAAAGGGTTCCTATGAGGAGCAGAAAGGGATAAGAAACTTTTAGATTGAAAGATAGTGAAGAGGAAAAAGACAGAAACACAGGATATTTTCAGGAGGACCTGGATCAAAACCCACCAGCCCTTTCTGCCTCTTCAAAAGGGCTTTCTATAACAATTCCAAGGGGCAGGACAAAAGACATCCCCCTTTCTAGATCAACACATGCCACACAGCCAATTGTAGACCCTTCCAAACACCTGGTAACCACACCCATGGTCAAATCATCCCTTTATGCAGCCCTGCTGGGTAAAGCAAGCTCAGATTCTCAGATACTGCATGAGTTCTTCATAGGAAACCTTTGTGGGTCTCTACAATTACCTAAACATGTCTTTGTTGCTGAAACATTTTTGAACATTCCCTAATCTATAATGTATGTTGCTGAACTGATAGTCTTTTATTTAAAACCAACTTGATATTGATAAAATATTAACAATGACTAGTGCAAAATAAGATATTAACAAATTCATCACTGTGTTGTATGTTTTAATGCATTTGAACAGATCCATTAATGAAGCCACAAAGGGCTACAGGAAGCATGTTAAACTCCCGATATTCACCGAGGACATCCCAAGCTGTGCCAGTGTATGTGAATATAAAACCAAAAATGACATCCCAAGTTCATGACTAGGAGAGACATGCAGTTTATAGAGCAATGGAAGATGGGGACATAAGAAGAGGGTGGAGGAGAGAGAGAGTTTGAGATTTAGGTAGTATTTTGTTGAAAAGGGATATGTGTATGCCATGCATACATGTCTTTTATATGTGATATGTAGAAAGCAACATGAAACAAGATTGATCAACATTAGCTAAAGTGCTAAAACAAAAGAAATAATTTTTGGTTAAATGACTGAAGAGTGAGTCAGGTAGTTCCAACAGCATACATTTCCAAGCTAAGTATTCCTACTGGAATTAAATTTTTTTCCCAGTCCTTATTGCTTACATAGAGACTTATATATTGTTTCTACTATTACTTATTTATTTTAAAATATTTTGTCTAATCATAAATAATTCTAATCATAGGAGATTATCATAAACAAATTTTAAACAAAATGTTATCAAGAATTTTATTCACTCTCCATACTTACCTGCTTGATCATAATTGACCCCTATGAACCCGACCCTGCTTCTTCTCTTTGTCTCTCACTAGGTGTTCTCTCACGTGCTTTGAAGAATGGCTGCATCACCATGTGAATCTCAATGCTTAAGGACATCCTTTCATGTAACTTCAGTTTAGAATCCACCTTTAGACACTTAACATTGCTGTGTGAGTGTGTATGTATATGTGTGTGTGAGAGAGAGAGAGAGAAAGAGAGGGAGAGGGAGAGAGGGAGAGAGAGAGAGAGAGATCATGTGTGTAGTCTTTAAAATACTAGACAGTTGTTCTGTCATTGAGTTACACTCATGTCTATTAATATACTTGTTTGTTTTTCTGGTTTGTTTTTCTAATTTTTCTATTTTTGTTCCCATTCCACTACTGGATTCACTGAAGATCAGTAGTTTAGCTATTTTGTAGAATACTGAGCATTGAAACCTTTCCTACTATAAAAACAGGACGGAATCTAGCTGAAAGGATTGCCACCTTTCTGACTTTTATATAAAACACATTTAGAGTCAATATTCTAACATGTCACTGTTGAAATTGAACTAGAGTAACCAAGGTGTGTCTGATGAAGATAGTTTAGATCATGCAGCAATTGGTTCTGCATACCAGGTCCCCATCATACACAACGGTCCTTAAGGAGAAGTGTTGTATAAAAGTAATTTCTAGTCTGTAATGTAAGTCATGAGAACACTCTAGCTAGCTTTGCTGAACCAGATGTGTCCTCAGGGCAGAGCAGAGCAAAATGACCAGTAGGGAAATGTTCTCTTTCCCCTGCTTGCTTGATTTCAGCCATGGCAAATATTAAGTATTGTACACGAGAAATCTCCCCAATACCTTAAGATACCATTGCAGATGAGACCTAATTCTTTTAAAATAAAATTACCTACCCATTTTCATCCAAGATTCTATTGCTTTTATATTTTATCCTGCAATATTTTATCCAGTACCCTTTTGTGCAGTGCAGGTGATTGGCTATAGATATGTTTCTGTTTTCTTCGTGCAATAATGTGTTTATCTCCCTCTTCTCCTTTTTTTTTTTTACCTTTCACAGATCTTTTATTTATTTTTTTAATATATATATATATTTTTTTATTTTACAATACCATTCAGTTCTACATATCAGCCATGGGTTCCCCTATTCTCCCCCCT